GGTTTTTCAAAAGTACTTTGCTTATTTGAGGTATCTTTCCAGATAAACTTGCCAGCTGCCTTTCTTTGAAAAATGTGTTTGGTATCTGTATTGGGATGACATTAGCCATGTAAATTGCTTTTGGTCAGGTTGTCATTTTCACTGTTAAGTCTTCCTATCCATTAACAGGGTAGTGAGGTCTAGTTAGGTCTTAGTGTTTCTCGCATGTTGAATAGTTTCCATTATAAAGATCTTTTATGTCTCTTTTTCTTGGCCAGTTTGGATGCCTCCTCTTTCACTTGGCATATTGTCCTAAAAGTACTTCCAGGTGCACTTTCTCTGGTCTCAAGCAGCCTGGTCGGAATCTCACCTTAGTGTGGTCCAGCTCTCATAAAGTCTGTTGTCTTCAGTGGTCCATGGTGTGGCCGGAGAACTCTGCTTTCCAACTTGGCACGAAGAAGAACCCAGATCCCCTACCCCTAGAATAGAGCAGAGATAAAATGAAGCACATTACTTCCCCCCCCACCCCCACCCGCCATACTGGAAGCCTTTCCTACTCCTTTCTCCCACAAATCTCACACCATTTTCTCATTCACCAATTAGATACTTGCATCTACCTTGACGATAGTGAAAAATCAATCCTCTTGAGTTATCCCAGGTTTCCGTGACAAAATGTTACCATGTACCTTGTTAAGCCCTTCTGTCCCAGGTAGAAAACATTAGAGGGGATGGTGCCACGAGTACCAGAGTAGCAGTGTACAGAAATTGTAGGGTTTCTTGGGAGAGCATACTTTAACGTACAGAGCATTTAAGTGTGTTGTTGTTGTTGTTGTTACGTGCCGTCGAGTCGTCTGCGACTCATAGCGACCCTATGCACAACAGCCCTAAACCCTGCTCTATCCTGCGCCAACCGCACCACCTCTGACACACCCATCCCGATTACCCCAGTCACCGAATCAATCCATCTCATAGAGGGTCTTCCCCTCCTGCGCTGTCCCTCCACCCTCCCAAGCATGATGTCCCTCTCCAAGGACCCGTCCCTCCTGGCAACATGTCCAAAGTATGTCAGACGAAGCCCCAGAATCCTTGCCTCCAAGGAGTAGCTTGGTTTAATCCTCTCCAAGGTGAATCTGTGTAGGTTGAAGTTTTTTGTTAGAACAAGACTCCAGCAAAAAAGACGAAGAGGCAGAAGTAAAGGTTAAAAAAAAATGGATTTATTAGAAAGCTACATCCCAAAGGGATGAACCTTTCTTTTTGAAAAGGAAATATGGAGGAAACTTTTTTTCTTGGTTGAGATACAATCTATTTAAAATCTATTTCTTGATCTTCTGCAGCAGGCATTTCAATTCTTCTCGACTTTTCAGCGAGCAAGGTTGTGTGATCTGCATGATGCAAGTTGAGTCTTCCTCCAGTCTTGATGCCACATTCTCTATTAAGTCCAGTCTTTTGAATGATCTGTTCTGCATATAGATTGAAAAGATAGAAGAAAGAATATATCCCTGAAGCACTCCCTTCTTGATTTGGAGCCATGCAGTGAGTGTTCTTGCTCTGTTCGAATAATAACTTCTTGGTCTAGGTACCATAGGAGCACAACCAAGTGTTCTGGGAGTCCCATTCTTACCGTTAACCACAAATGGTTGTAATCCACACAGATGTCTTTGAGTAATCAATAAAACATAAATTGGCTGCCTCTGCTACACTCTGCTTTCAGGCAAGATCTAGGAGACATTACCAGTGATAATCCCTAGTGCTGGTTTCTTCTAAACCCAACTTGTATTTCTGCCAGTACTCTGATGTATTGTTGTAGATGTTTTTGGATAATCTTCAGCAAGATTTTGCTTGCATGTCATATTAGTGATTCTTGTTAATTTCCACATGTTAGATCACCTTTTTTTGGAATACACCTGGGTCTCTTCTGCTCAACTCTTGAGCCTTATTTTCCCCCTTAGTTTTGGCTTCTTGGCATTCTAGTACAATATTCAATCTCTTACATCCATTGGGGTCTTTTCCTTCTAAATCTTTGTAATATTTGTTTTCTTCATGGATGATATCTTTGATACTGCCCCACACCTCAACTGGTCTTCGTTTTCAGTGTTCAATGCCTCAAACTTGTTCTTGAGATGGTTTTTAAATTCATGTAAGTTATACTCAAGGTCATATTTCTGTTCTTCTGGATTTGTTTTCATTTTCTTTAGCTTCCATTTACACGTGAGCAGTTAATGGTCTTTTCCACATAGTGTACACCTGGATGGGTTTCATAGCTGTTACTGAATTTTACCAACAATTTTTTCCATAGATGTAATCAGTCTGATTCCTTTGTATTCCAACAGGTGAGGTGCATGCGTAACATCATCGTCTGAGTTTTTATAAAAGATATTTGCAATGAATAAATCCTTGAATGTACAAAATTTGAATTTTGCCATTTTGTCCACAGCCTCGTTTCTGTCACCAACCCATAGTTTCCCACAGCTGGTACTTCACTGATTACAACTTCTGCATTTCAGTCACCAATCATTATTACTGAATATTATTTGAATGTTCGGTCAGTTTCAGGTTGCAAAGGTTAATAGAAATCTTGTGTTTTCTCTTTGACTGGAGTTAATATATTTTAACAGGCTTTCCTTTTACGCTTATGGGTATTATTCTGTCACTCACAACATTGTACTTTAGGGTAGATCTAGAAATGGTCTTTTTGATTATGAATACAACCCTTTTTCTTCACGTTCATTTCCAGCATAGTAGAGAAATACCGCATTCAAAGTGGCCAATGCCTCTCCATCTCAGCTTGCTAATGCCTAGTTTGTCACTTGTTATGCATTGTTTAACAATGTCCAATTTTCCTACATTCATACTTTGTACTTTACACATTCCAATTATTGTGGATGTTTGCAACTATTCCTCATCATTTCTGGTGTGTTCCACCCTAAAAATTTAGCCTCCCAAGCTGTCTTTTTTGTTCTCAGTTGTTCATAGGGTTTTCCAAGGCCATTGCACTGCCAGTGCAGTGATTTGTGGTTCAGATCCATAGTCAGCTGACTCAGTTACACAACAGCAGAACGAAAACAAAAATCCCAACAGGATTTTTTTGAACCAAAAAGCAACAGTATGATAGTGTCAAGAAATGATACAGAAATTTGCAGCCCAGTACAGTTATTGCTAAAAAGCTATCACTTTAAGACCTAAGATATGCCTGACACAACCCAAGTTATTGTCAGTTGCTTCATAACGCAAGTAAAAGTTGGATGATAAGATCCAAGAAAACTTGATCTTTGAATTAGAATTTTGGCAAAGAAGGCTAAATATACCGTGGACTGCCAGAAAAATGTATGTGTCACGAATGAAATACAACAGAATGTTCAAGTGAGGATAGTTAGAATTCTCACACACTTTGGACCACATTATCAGGAAAGACTAATCCCTAGAAAAAGACATCATGTTTAATAATGTGGAAGGTCAGTGAGAAAAAGATGCATTGACATGGTGTCTAGATCAGTGTGTTCCGTCAGCAATGATACTAAGAATAGCACAGGACTGGTTATTTTTAGATACAGACTCAGTAGAACCTAATAGCCATGAAATGTTCCATAATAGTGAAAAAGTTACTGATAATTTTGCAGACAATCTTTAATTGTAAGAAGGTGATTGTTGTTGTCATAGGCTGTTGGGTCTAAACTAACTCATCCTTGACACTCCAGTTTTCAGAGGCTATAAAATGCATGGGAGGAAGTTGTCAATCTTTCACCCTTGGAGTAGATGGCAGACTTTAATTTCACACTTGGGTTGACAGTACAACTCCTGACCACTAGGCAACCAGAGATCCTTAATAAGTTGATTACTTTGCTTAAAGTGAAATCACTTTTTCTTCGATTCTCACATCTGTGCACACACAAGAATTTTGATTATATATTGAATGTATAAAGTTGCTAGGTGGAGCAACAAATAGGTCTGTCTTGGAGAGGATGAAACCAAGTCTCTCTTGGAGGGTCAGATTTTGAAGTTGTCTAACATACTTTGGACAAATGGCCAGGAAAGACCAGTCCTTGGAGAAGGCCACCCTGCTTGGAAGAGTGGTGGGACAGCGCAGGAGAGGGAGACCCCAGAAGAGATGGATTTATACAGTGACGGGGCAATGGGAGTTAGTGTTGGAATTAGTGAGACTGACTCAGGATGGGACAGGGTTCAGAGCTGCTGTGCATAGGGTCATTATGGGTTGCAGGTGACTTGAGAGCACATAACAAATGTGGAACAGTTTCTGACAAACTACTAACTCAGAAGTTAGCAGTTCAAATCATCCAGCTGTACTACAGAGTAAAGGCTTAGTGATGTTTTTTTTCATCATTTATTTGGCTTTTTTCAGGTGAATTTAGAATCAAAAACTATGGAAATAAATCATGACATTTCATTAATAAGGGTTCCTTGTCTAATGGGGGTTTATTCCTGTTGTGTTCTAGTAACCTGAACTATAGCAGGAATTTAAATTGACTTAATTGAATGTGATGTACTGTCGAATCAGAACCGACTCATAGCTGACTCTCCAGCCAGTTTTTAGAAGCAGTGAATTGCTTAAGAGTTAGCCCATCTTTTCTCCTGTAGAGCAGGATTCAAACTTTGTACCTTGTGAGTTAGTAGCATAACTCCTTAGTAAGGCACTACTCCCTTCTAAACCACCAGAGTTCCCTAATGCGGTATATTAAGTGTCGTTGAGTAGTAGACAACTCATAGTGACCATATGAAGGAAAGACCTGAGTACTGTTCATAGACTTTGAAGAGGCAAGCCATTTCAGAAGTGGATGCCATTCCTGCTTCCAAGCTTGTTTTAGTTGGGCAACTCCACCAAACACTGTGCACCATGGGTGACATTTGGCACGTCAGTGTCAGTGTTCAGCATCCTCTAATTTTCATGTTTTGATTTTGAGTTGTATTTGATTTTAAGGACAAGATTTCTCTACTATGGATATTTCATTGGACGGATAAAAAAAAATAGTACTACTTTAATAAGAGCTTGGTTGGTTTGTTTTCAGCCTAAATTTAAGAAGAGGAGATACTACATATTTGGACTACTATGTGGACTCTGCGTATATAATTTAAATGTCGCCAATCTTCCTTTTCCTCTGGCGCTGTTTAAGAAACTTCAAAACCTACCACCATCATTGGAAGACTTGAAAGAACTATGTCCTTTTTTGGGAAGGTAAGTTAATGAGCTCTTTTTCCAGGACCATAACATGTATTTGGATAAATATTTCAACATATTTGTGTGTACCAAAAATATTTTCATAGTTAACAGTACCATTCTAGAAACTTTGAATGTTTCAACTTTGGCAAGAGTTGTTGGATAGTAATTTAACTTTATAAAATTAAGAAAAGTCCTGTGATCAACCTTCAGTCCTTGAATTAATTTTTGAGAGCAATGTCAATGGACTTCAACCCATGAGAAATCTGCAGGTGAATTATTTTAAACTATCTTTATGTCCCTTTTCAGATGGTGTTTTATTGTTATGTGTTAAGTCAATTACAACTTACAGCAACCCTATGAACAATACATCTGCACATTGCCCTATCCTGTTGCATCAATCTTCCTCGTGCTAAAATTGACTATTGTAGTCACTGTGTCCATCCACCTCGTTGAAGGTCGTCTTTCTCTGATCCTTCACCTCTCCTGGCATGTCTTTTTTTCCAAGAATTGGCCTCTACTGACAACATGCTTAAAGTATGTAAGACATACTGTCTTTGCCTCTAACACCATGGTTGCACTTCTTCCAAAACAGTTGTTTCTTCTTCAGTCCATGGTATATTCAGTACTTTTTGCCAAAACTAGTTAAAAGCATTTGTTCTTTCTTGTTCCTTGATCAGTATCCAGTGTTCAAATGTGTGCGAAGCAATTGAAAATCTTGTTTCAAGACATAACCTTTGCCTGTCAGGAATGATTCAAAAGCTGTATTAATTAGGACAGTGTGATGTTGGTGTAGGGTTTCCAGTGCAGTAGAAGACAGACTCAAACTCATCTGCTCTTACGTGCTCTTAATGGCAGAGTAGAAAAATGAAGGTGTGAGGGATAATGCTCAATAAATGGAATGAGGAAAATGCAGAAGGATCATTACTTCGTAATACACATACCCATGTGTATTACATAATATATGCATAATACACATGCACACTCTCACTTTCTCTCCATGTGCATTAAGGATGTTAATTTTAGTCAGAATAAGACAGGCTTTTTAATATTATTTTTCTTGTGAATTTTTAAAATTAAACAATGTACCATCAACATCAAAGATAATATTAAGTTGAACTGTAATAAATTTGAAGTTCTCTGTTCATCATTCATATCTTAATGAAAGAATAAACGCTTGAACTGTCAGATGTATTTAACAGTTTTGAAATGGTAGGAAAAAAATGGAATACTAGAGTAGGGGGTCAACAAAAGTTAAAGAACTCCTCCATGAATTAGATTAACATAGTAACCAATTCAGTGAACTCAAACGAAACAGGGATCACAAAATGTCATAGCATTTCATTCTATTACACATAAAGTCACTAGGATTCAGAACCTACTCTGTACCAACTAACAGGAAAATGAAATGAAGGTATGTACTGTTGTTCTGTTAGCAGCTCATAGATGTCCGGGGTCACTATGGGTCATGACTGACTCAGCAGCACCTAACAGCAATGTAGAACTCCATCATAAACTACATGTAAATAGGTATATAAGCCACACAAGGACAAATGGTGTCAGAATATAATGCACTAAGGATTTTTCTGAGTAATCCTGTTCAATCAGCTGAGTTTACTTAGTTTAAAAAATTTAAAAAAAAAATCACAATGGCTAAAACATGGTTTATCACAGTGCATTAATTAAAAATTCATGAGTGGAAGGGAAACAATGATATGTATTCTTTTGGAAAGAGTTAACCAAGTGCTCTTAAGCTGTGCTTCTGCAGTTTATGTATTTCTCTGCCTGTAGACATCTGACTGTTATCAGACATTCATTAATCTAATTTACTCTCGTGAGATTGATTTCAGTTAGTCTCAACTGAGTTTTACTACTCTCAACTGGATGTTTATGCTTGTCATCCTAGGTTCTTATCAGATTGTTAAATGTATAATGAAAGATCCAATACTTGAGTATACACAGATATTCACACATACCTTACATACTTGGGGCATCTTGTTAAAGAGACAAGGCCCCAGAAAGACTGATCTTGGAAAGTGGAGGGGCAGCATAAAAGAAGACCCCCCCCGCCAAAAAAAAGACCCTCAATAAGATGGATTGGCGCAGTGACTGTAACAGTGGACTCGGGTATATCAGGGATGTGGATGGCACAAGTAGGGCAGGATTCAGATCTGTGGTTCATAGGGTTGCCATGAGTCATAGTCAGCTCAAAAGCACCTACCAATAACATACACAGCAGAGATTGGGTCACCAAGTGGTAATAAGCTACCTTGCAATATCAGAAGCACAGGATTTGAATCTTCAAGCTGCTCTGCAGGAGAAGAATGGACGATCTCCTTCCATGTGATTTATTGCCCTTGAAAGTTCCCTGGAGGGTCAGCTATGGGTCAATTCCAGCTGACACCACACAACAAAATGCATACATACATATGTGCCTGTATATATATTAAACCAGCTGGAAGAGATCCTTATTATTTCCATCCCAAAAAGGGTAACCCAGCAAAATGTGGAAATTATCACACTTTAATACACAAGTAAAACCTTGCTGAAGAATATACAAAACTAGATCATGGGCAAGGAACTGCTGGAAAGAGGAGATGGATTCAGAAAAGGCTGTGGTACCAGGGATGTCATTGCTGATGACTGACTGATAGTGGCTGAAAGCATAGAGTACTAGAATGATGTCTATTTGTTATATTGAATACAAATGCATTTGTATGGATCATAACAAATTATAACTAACAGAAAAATAGGAATCCCAGAACATGTAATTGTGTTTATGCAAAACTCTTAAGAAACTGTTGTCTCAACAGAGCAAGGGAACACTGTATAATTTAATACTGAGAAAGATGTGCCTCAGTGTTGTACCCTTTCTCTGTATTCATTATGCAGGCAAACAGTCAAATGCCTTTGCATAGTCATTCAAACACAGGTGCCCATCTGGTACTCTCTAGCTTACTGCTAAGATCCATTTAACATTGGCTATAATACGCCTAGTGCCATGGCTTCTATAGAATATGTCAACAGAGAACTGCCAGATGTGTAGGCTGGATTTAGAAGAGGTCGTGGTACTAGGACTATTATAGCTAATGTATTTTAGATGGACCTTGACAGAAAGCAAAGACTACCAGAAGAATGTCTATCTGTGCTTCATTGACTATGCAAAGGCTTTTGACTGTGTGGATCACAACAAGCTGTGGCTGACTCTGAGAAGAATGGGAATCCCAGAACATTTGAGTGTGCTAATGCAAAATCTATACTTGGACCAAGAGGCAGTTGTCAGAACAGAGCAAGGAGACACTATATGGTTCAAAATCAAGAAGGGGGTCCGTCAGGGATGTATTCTGTCTCCATACTTTTTCAATCTGTATGCAGAACGGATTATCCAAGATGCTAGGCTGTACGAGGAGGAATGTGGCATCAGGATTGGTGGAAGAGTCATCAGCAACCTGCCTTATGCAGATGACACAACCCTGTTTGCTGAAACTGAGGAGGACCTGAAGCGCTTGCTGCAGAAGATCAAGGACTGCAGCCTCCTATATGAATTGAAGCTCAATATCCAGAAAACAAAGATTCTCACCACTGGGCCAATTGGCAGCATCAGTATGGATGGTGAAGAGATTGAGATAGTTAGCAGTTTTAGTTTGCTTGGCTCCACAGTCAACACTCTTGGTAACAGCAGCCAGGAAATCAAGAGACAAATTGCATTGGGAAAGTTGGCTGTGAGGGACCTCTTAGTACTGAAGTGCAACATCAGGCTGGAGACTAAGGTGCGCCTGATCCAGGCTATAGTCTTTGCAATTACGTGCTATGCATCAGAGTTTGACAATGACTAGGGTTGATAGAGAATTGATGCCTTTGAGCTGTAGTGCTGGAGAAGAGTATTGAATATACCATGGACTGCTAGGAGAACAAACAGGTTTGTCCTGGTGAAGAAGAAGCCGGAATGCTCCTTGGGGTCAAGGATTCTGAAGCTTCATCTGACATACTTTGGGCATGTTGCAAGGAGGGACTGGTCCTTGGAGAGGGGCATCATGTTTGGCAGAGTAGAGGGGCGGCGAAGGAGAGTAAGACCTTCAGTGAGACGGATCGATTCTGTGACTGGAGCGGTGGGAATGAGTGCGTTTGAGATGGCTAGGTTGGCACAGGATAGAACAGCATTTAGAGCTCTTATACATATTTAGGGTCGCTGTGAGTCGCAAGTGACTCGATGGCACATAACAAACTTTTATGAGGCCCTCATTGCTGATGTCAAATGGGTCCTGGCTGAAAGTAAGGAATATCAGAAAGTCTATTTGTGCTTTGACTACATAAAGATATTTGTGTGGATCATGACAAGTTGGAGCTGACATTGAGAAGAATGGGAATCCCAGAGCACTAGATTGTGCTCATGCAGAACCTATACCAGGAGGCAGTTGTGAACAGAGCAGGAGAGAACTGCTTGGTTTGGAATTGGGAAGGGAGTGTGCCAGGGTTCCGTTCTCTCTCCATACCTATTTAATCTATGCTGAAAAAATTATCCAAGAAGCTGGACTCTGTGAGGAGTGTGGTGTCAGGATTGGAGGGAGACTCAACAATCTGCATTTTGCAGATGACACACCTTGCTTGCTGAAACAGGGGAAGGCTTGAAGCACTTGTTGCAGAAGATCAAGGAATGCCGCTTTCGGTATGAATTGTATTCTCAATGTTGGAAAAATGACAATTCTTACCACTGGACCAACAGGTAACATCATGATGGATAGAAAGGAGATTGAAACTGTCAATAGCTTCATCTTGATTGGATTTGCTATTAAGAGCCTCGCTACAAATAAGATGAATTGTACTAGAAAAATCTGCAGTTAGGGACATTTCCAAATTATTAAGTAGTGATGTTAATTTGAAGACAAAGGCGCATCTGATTCAGGCCATAGTCTTTCTGATTACTAGCTATGCATCAGAACTAGACAATGAATAAAGATGACAGAAAAAGAATTGACCCCTTTGAGCTGTATTGTTGAGCACTGAACATTCCATGGATG